TTATGCCAATACCATAAACTTATATTTCCAAGCTTGATGTCTTTAATTATTTTGTGAATTTGTGAATCGGAAACTTTGGTTATGCCGTCTCTAATTTTTGTACATTCTATGAAAGTTAGTGCAGTTTTATTAGTAACACTTAAAGATGCACCTTCTCTTTTGCAAATAATACATATTGGACGGAGCTTACCCTTAAATTTTAACAAACATTCAAGATCACTTTCATCACTTGTACCGGTGCTATCTGTACTATCCATATTTGTATTCTGTAACTTTACAACCCCAGTTAAAAAATAATTATAAAATATTAGTGTACCTACAATTAATCAATTTCACTTCTGATTCGTTCACTATTGACCACTCTTAATTTAAAGTTGGTTTTAAAATATACATTTGTAAAAAAAACGCAATACCTACACAAAATAATACACTGGCAAAACTCTGGTATACCCGTGTCGAGAACGTACCTATGGTGTAAGAGCGAAATGGAGCTACGGGAAATGTAGAGATGGATTGTATTCACCGGAGCGAAAGCGCTCCGTTTGTAAGTGAGTAAAAAGTTCGTTGTTTTACTTTTAATTACATATTTTGGTTACTACTGCAGATAAAATTATAATTCTCGGTGCAATGTAAAGATAAACGATGAGCGAAACTTTTTTTAAGAGTAAAACTTTTTGATTTAGGCTTCCGTTTATTAAATAATACGATGTAAACGCAAAAGTTGCTCAAAATTTGTCGAATTTTTAGGGATATCGAACTGAGATAATCGCTTTTGAAGTTTAATTCTTCCGTAAGACCCAATGTAATTCGAAACGTTTGATAATTTATTATTACTTTCACTGTACAAAGAACATTTTGATTTATATACGAAAAAATTCGTTATTTTTTCTTCTTTCCGTACATGTGCTTAACTCGTTTTTCGCGTTTTGTGCCCTAATGCATGGACCGATTTTGGACGGCCTTGACATTTACAATCAGTATATCATGACCTTTGATTTTTTGTGAATTTCAGCTTGTGACACCAAAACCCCCACGGAAGTCATAATTTATGCCACGGAGCACTCTACTAAAAGGGTTTCGGTGGATTCGGAATGATACGGTTATCGCACCATGCAGGCATACGGACGGGACTGCAAAACTTGTAAACAACTCGATCTGAACTCGTTCTATCCTCGGATTTTACTTATTATGGGAATCTAAAACATCTTATAAATAATTAACGGCGCTGAAACCAAAGAATATAAATTGTCCCTCATCTTCGCCAGGACAACATCCTTCGGTGGTTACAAAAATATCGCGGTCTCCTTGCGTAACGAAGCCCAAACCAATCGTTATTATACCGGGTGGTCTTTGTAAACGGCAAACTAAGTGGAGAAATTCCGGGTGCTTCGTTACACCAGCGTAACCGATATACTAACCGATGCTCTGGAACAACATGCTCAACAGCATAAAGAAAACTAGGCGGAAAAGAGAAGATTTAATGATTTACTAGAGAAGTTATTAACAAATTTAAAATAGTATATTAATAAACAAGTTTCATAAGTGGCGCTATTATCGCACGAGTTCAAGTTTAGAAAACGAGCCGCGCAGCGGCGAGTTTTCTAATGAACGAGTGCGATCAGGCGTCTTATGAAACGTGTTTCTTATACTATTTTTTCTATTGAGAAGATATTTGACGTTCAATAATTTACTGCCTCAATAAATACGCAAAAGTATGAAATTTGACTATGTATAAATTTTAACCATCCTAGGGACTTTTACGTTATGGTTATATTAAGGTGGTAGGGAAAAATTTTCAAATTCAAATAAAATTTAGCATTTATTAAGTTTTATTAGCGACATAATTTACCATGAATAAAGAAATTCAATGTACTCCGCCTGAGCTACGGCAAATTGCAAATAATGCTACTGATAAGTTGATACCGGAGAAATCCAAAAATCAGTATGAGAAATCATACAACATTTTTGTAAATTGGACAACGGAGCATCAGATTACTTCAATCACGGAAAACGTTTTAATAGCATATTTTCAATCCATGGGACAAACGAAGAAAAGTTCCACAATTTGGACGAACTATTCAATGCTCCGTTCGATGTTGAGCATAAAACGCAACATCGATATTTCCAAGTTAACAAGGCTGAAAACGTTTTCGAAAGCGTATCAACCAAAAAAGTCACAAATTCTAGACTGACCAAATCACTCGATTTGTTACCGATGCTACGGGCCAAACATTTCTTGTCGTAAAAGTAACTACCTACAACATTTTCATTAGGTCATATTACTGAGTAAACTATTTTAGGTGGTGTTAATAATGAGTTATTGTGGTGCCATGCGAAGAGAGGAATTAACACCATGTGCATTGACGATGTTGACTTTAAAACCGATATGATTTTGATTACTGTCCCTAAAACAAAAACAAATGTGTCTCGCTTGTTTGCGGATTACGGAACACTATTGGATAGCGTGTGTTAGGAAGTTGTTGATCTTAGACCATCTAACACAAGCAGCCGCAGATTTTTCTTCAACTACCGCAACGGGAGGTGTACAAATCAGCCTATCGGAATAAATAAGATTGGTCAGATGCCAAAAGTAATAGCTACTTTCTTACAATTACCTAATGCGGAGCAGTTTTCGGGACACTACTTTCGGCGACCATCCGCTTCTCATTTAACTAACAGCAGTGGCGATCTTTTAACCATTAAGCGGCACGGTGGCTGGAAATCCTCCACCGTAGCTGAAGGTTATGTAGAGGGTTCATTGAAAAAGCGCGTAGAAATTTCACAGATGCTTTCAAATCAGTCGTCATCCACACTAACATCAGCATCGCAGATTGCATCATGCTCAACTTCGTTGATAGACGACGATATACCAACACAATGCGAACCTGTAGAATCGAGTGATAAGGTCGCTCAAACTGTGCACATGAAAAAAAGCTCTGTAATATCGCTGTCCGAAACAAACTTACCAGGTGTAGTAATACATGCAGCAGAGAATTGTGTGACAAACTTGAATGTTTATAATAATTGCTCCGTGCAAAAGTAGTTTGTAATCTTTCATGTTCGTTGTAGTTAAACCTAATTAGTAATTAGTTTATAATTTTTCATTTTGTATATAAACAACTTAACACAACAAAATAAGTTTTAATATTGATGGACTACCTTTATTTCACAGTACAGGAGCGCAGTTATGGCCAATACTAGGACTCAAAAAATATAGAATGTGATCCTTTTGTAGTAAGTGTTTATTGTGGCACATCCAAACCTAAGCCTTTGGAGAATGGAGTTGTACGTAACAGATTTTTTAGACGAAATACAACTGTCATTTTGTTTCCATTCCTGTTAGCCACATGGGCATCGATCCCGATAGGGCTAAATAAAAAAAAAAAACTATTGATAAATAAAGGATTTCAGTATAAATCTAAACATTTTAACATTATAATCCATAGTTTTATATGCAATGCACCGGCTAGGGCATATCTGAAATGTGAAAATGAAAAATCTCACGGGGGTTATTCTTCCTGCGAAAAATGTTGTGTATCTGGTGGCAATATAAATGGGAGAGTTATTTTAAAAGGAACTAACGCATCTAAAAGAACAGATCATTCATTTTCCTTACAATTAGACGAAGACCACCATTTAAGTGTCACCATTAGTAGGTTTACCAATATATATATATAGTCGTTTTCCAATAGAATATATATATATATATATATATATTCTTTTCGCTGCTCCCTCCTCTCTCGAGTGGATCATCTCAATTCCACCTCGGTATTTGTTACATGCAGAGACTTGTAATACTTAGACCGCGCATACAATGCCACTCGCGTATAAAAGAGTGTTGCCAACATGTTTAGGCAACACATCAATGTTTAGGCAACACATCATACCCATAAAGGCAAAGCGCGAACCAGTTTACCAAGATCTTATTCAATATTTCAATGATCACCAGACTTAAGCCGTATGTGTCTAGAAAGTGTGCGCTTTCGATTCAGCAAAGAATTTTTAAAAAATACTGAAAAACTAGCCCAGTTCAGCGATATAATCCCAGCAAAAACGAATAGTGTAGATTGGAGCGCGAAAGTTCTTGCCTTTACGAGTTCGGTGGGTGGCCTACCATGTTGACAACATACAACTTGAGCTATGCGCGGTCTAGTAGTAACAAGCCTCTGGTTACATGATAACATTTGTGTTTTTTTTCACATGAAGTCAAATTCGTCATCTTAGAGTACATGGAGGGTAAGATTACTTGCTGCAGGGTGTAAGATGACGAATGATAAAATAATGCCAGAAATCAAATCAAACACTGTATTTATGTGCAGAAATCACAAATATATGCTTTATGTTTGGCTTCTGCTACTGTGACCCCAGTATACTCAGCATGAGCCCATTTTTTACACAATGAACACGCGTATCAAGTTTCATCCTTTCCAAATTCATTGCACATCATGCAACATTCATCCTCTAAGTCTACAATTAGTCCAGTAAGCAGAGGTTTTTTACAGGAAAAAAATGTAGAATTTTTTTTCTCACTGGTTCTATATGTCTTTTGGGCTGCTGAATTCGAATCTGAAGTTTGCCACCTCGCCAGGCATGAGCTTCTCAAGGAAAATTGCAAAAACCTCATATTTTCGGCAGTTGTTCCAGTTTTTTAACTATAACTCGAAAACTAAGCGTTTTTGGTGAAAACTGTAATGTAGCAAATTAAAGTAGACAAAATTTCCTATAAATACGTATAATAACTGTAAAGTCTGGAACAATCCATAACGTCGTTAGAGGGTGTTAAAAAAATGGAATTTCTTATCCTTTCGCTAAAAAGGTTTAAAAACGTTATTCTTCTAGCTAGTGCCCTACTATCAATTTCGTACACCTCCAAAATGAATTATTTTATGATTACTAGGTATATCCTAGTTACATTTCAATAAGGGCAAACGAGAGTGAGGCCTATAGGTCAACGAGCCTCCTAGCCCAAACCAAAATCGTACTACTTTCATTTTAAGGGGAATAATGTTTTGATAAAAGAAAACATATTGGAACAAATTTTTATTTACACAAAAAATAAAGCAAAAACACTATTTTTCTAAATTTTTATGTTCATTCGTCGTCGGCGTCCTCATCTGCAGAATTATCACCTAAAACAACGAAAATGGAGGCTTTAGATAACTATAATAAAATCAATGTCGTTCATGTCCATTACGGCCAGAATTTAATATGTCTTTGCACAATAGACTTTAATATTATTTATAAAAAAAAGATAAAACTGAAAATAAGATGGAGAAGAAGAAGTCATTACCTGCATAAAGCTCAGCATTGCGTTCGCAGATGATCCGTTTAGAAGGTCCAGGCTGTATCTCCGGAGCGACGTAATGTTTTCTCTTTAGCCCTTTCTGGTCAGTGGATTGCTCGAGTTCTTGAAGGATAGGCGCTGGTCTCTCTACTAAAAAAAAATTGTGATATTTTGATGTTGATCTGTGCAAGTATAGTCTCTTATTTACAGGATACATACTAGATTAGAATAATAATTACTTCCAATAGTATAAATTACCTTCGAGCTTCTCAGGTGAAACGTCTTCATCGTCATCACTCAGCATTATTTCTATATTAGAGCATCTTCCTTCACAATGCAGACACAGTCTGGAGCAGTATAACCCAACCCTTATACATCCGCAATTGCCCTTGCAACCTTTCTGGCACTTGCAGGCAATGAGTTTCAGAAGCTTCTCTGGAGCTGGGGGCTCAAGGGTCGTGATGGGAATCAAGTTGCCTTTAATAAGTTTCCATCCCCACTGCTCAGGTAGTTGAATATTCCCCAGCCACTGCTGTACTTGGTGAAATACCCTGTAACAGTGTTGTTGGGCTGCAGCTTTAGTGGGAGGGATGGACGCTACATTTCCGCTAACCTTAAATGCTGATGACACATACTGTTTGTAACGCAGCTTATTAATTGAAGTAGTGCGATGATCTCCGCCATACAAGGCCACTAGGAATTTTTCCCCTGCCTCCGAAATTTCTTCTGATGTGGCACGTGGGCTTCTGAATTGTCGAATGTAGACTGACAGATCAGGATACTTTGTAAGGGTTTTTATAAACTTGACTTTCCCTTGTTTGAACAGAGCAGATGTGGAGTCACAACCACTGACTGCATGTATGAATAGTATATGTTCTGCCAGGCATTTATCGATGGTACTTGAAGGATGGTAAACAGATGGAAGATGTTTGCCTTTTCCTGGTTTTAAAAAGTATACATTGGATGACGTCAGGGTTCCAATCATAATAACCAGGAGGTCTACATCCTCACCAACCACTACAACAGTTTCGTGCTCTTCAGCAAGAGATTGGGCTGTTTGCACAATCAGAGTGTCTGCATCTTCACTTGCTTGCTTCGTGTCAATTTGCGATGCACTCAGTTTCTGTAGAAGCATGCTAATGAATCTGCTTTTGTTGTAGGGATTAGACAAAAACTTTTCCTGGGGGACCGTGGGCACCATTTTGTCATTGAATTGGATGTCAACTGACTGAGTCATGGATCTTCTCATGCGCTCCATTTGTTTAGTTCCTCTTTGTGCGTCTGAGTAGCCGTCGAAGACTACTACTGCGGTTGATGTATATTTTTTCTTTAAGTATTCAATGTAGCTGTCACAAATTTGACCAAATGTCTTCTTTTCAGGCCACACAACTTTGTGTAGAAGAAATCCACCGTCAACAACATATTTGGGATGTTTATCCAATATAGATGTGTCAGGTTCTCCTCGAAAAGCTTTGTACAGTGTCGATTTTGTCCCTTTCCTCATTAGACCACCTTTCTTTTCGTCAAATAGGGCAAGTGGAAAGGGGCTCAGTTCGTATGTCAAGAACTCCTCGAGTTCCTCGTCTGACTCTTTAGCAATACTCATGCGTTGAAATAGGGTAGTTGGATTAACAACTACAGATTGATCATGAACTATTATTGAAGATTTCATGGTGGCAAGTGACAGCACCCTCTCTCTTCGCTTAAACTTAACTGACTCAAAATTGTTGCCAGCAATTGCCAACATTTTGTCAATACACTTGACTCCTTCCTCCCTAGACAAGTGGCAATTTATTTTTTCATCACCCATGACCCCTGTGCTTAAAGAAATGAGCTCAGCTGTCTTCTGGAAGGGCGGGTGTTGGTGGAACCACTCCATCATTTTCTTTGCATCAATATTGTCTCGGGTTTGCGAGGATTCTCGAGTATCTATATGTTGCTCTGATGATGCAAAATCTATACCGCTAAATCGTTCCACAGCATCGCAAATCTTTCTGTACGTTGCCATTCCCAAAGTCCATCTTGACAGAATAGCGTCGCTGGTACCACGACCTCTAGTGAGCCTTTTCCTACATTTTTCGTGAACCTCAACCTCTTTAGCAGTCTTATATCTATTAAACAAATCTATTTTACCATCCTCTCGACCTTTACTTGCTTCAATGAAACCTTCCAACCCCTTTTCCTTTACTATAGATGTCTGAGTTCCATCATCTAACGATTTGTCACATATTATACACTCGCGAGACATGTTCATTATTTTTCAGCGCACAAATAACACTCGTTTTATTGTTTTATTAACAGCACGGCACCGCTACACGAGACTAACTAAACTGTATGGAGTGGAAGACGGAAAACAGCAGGTAGTGTTTTTGGTTGGTGGAGGGGGGTACAATAATGTTTACTATCATTTATGGTATATTATACAGCGAAGTTTTTCAAGTTAAGTAAATGGATCCATAAAGGATCGTATACCTTCCTAGCAATATATTCAAAGGCTGCGGAAAATGTTTTTGGCATTTAAAAAAAAATGTTTTTCACGTTTTCCCTTATTGAAATGTAAGTAGGATATACCTAGTAATCATAAAATAATTCATTTTGGAGGTGTACGAAATTGATAGTAGGGCACTAGCTAGAAGAATAACGTTTTTAAACCTTTTTAGCGAAAGGATAAGAAATTCCATTTTTTAACACCCTCTAACGACGTTATGGATTGTTCCAGACTTTACAGTTATTATACGTATTTATAGGAAATTTTGTCTACTTTAATTTGGTACATTACAGTTTTCACCAAAAAACGCTTAGTTTTCGAGTTATAGTTAAAAAACTGGAAAAAGTGCCGAAAATATGAGGTTTTTGCAATTTTCCTTGAGAAGCTCATGCCTGGCAAGGTGGCAAACCTCAGATTCAGATTCAGCATATTAAAAAACATAAAAAACCGATGAGAAAAAAACTTCTACATTTTTTTCCTAGAAACGCTGTTTCTGATCCTTGGATGACTGAACTAAGTATATTGAAAGACAAGTGTTACAATGTAACCTATTCTAATACGACTATCTTGTGGCGTAGCGAAGCATTGTAACACGTGTTTTTTTCTATTTCGGGGCTTTAATTTAATTAAAAAGAAATTATCAAACACTACAGGAAACTTTAGAATTAATATATATTAAGTTGGCAACACCTTTTACGTTGACAAATTTTAAGTTTGGCCGCGTAGATAAAAACAACACTGACATTTGGAAACTTTAAATTCCGTGAATGTGTAGCCGTCGGTAAAGGCGGTAAACTACAACATGTTGTAGAAGGTCTAATTACTTCAATATCTAAGACATCATTTGATGGCCCAGGTCTTTCTTGTACTCTTCTTTCTTTGGAAGCTGGATTAAGTCATATAACGTGAAAACAACGTTTACGATAAAATTCTGATATCCAGCTACTCAGGTCGGTGCGCAATGGTCGTAGGCAAGGATAATTCATCTATAATAAACAATAACATTCCGACAAAGAATTAACTTCCTTAGTAAAATCAGTTTTTATTCAGAATTGAAAATGATTTTCGTTGGCACGTAGTGTACAGGTAAATAAATAATTAAATTCAAATGTGATTCCTGAAGATTAAAAATTAGAACAACCGCTATAAAATCAATATGGCCATATTCGTACAGAGATAGCGTTGTATACATATAAAAATAAGTACTTGGTTTGAATACAATTGGTACCAATGGACAAGTAGCCAAATCTAACTTCAATTAATACATAATTACTTCTAGAACATTAGAAAAAATCAATATAGCTGCCAACTTCTATACAACAAGTTGTTCTTGTCCATGGTTTGAAAAGAAATTACAAACTTCTCTGAAACTGAAATGAAACAAATTCCAAAACTACATACCAACGGGACTGATTTGATTAGTTTTTCATTAAAGGTAGGTTTTCTTCGCACACTGAGTATTGATAGGTGAGTTGGTAGAACACCCACAGAAGGTGAAATTTTCGGAAGGATTTTCCAAATCCAAATGAATCTGGCGCTCGCTAACACCAAACGAAAAAACGTAGAACCTCAAACGTGCTGCTCTTATCGAACTCCCCGCAACGTCAGTTCGTAATTCTGGATCTAATACCAATTTTACCAGAAAATAAATCGAGTAAAAAATAAAAGGCTAAAATTGTATGCATGAACAAACCGAACGCTCAACAAAGAACTTGCGATTTGGTAACGAAATTTCGGTAAGCAATAATACACGTGCTTCTTTCAATGGCAATTATATTTGCGTTTAATTTAATTAAAATTTTAGTATTACTTCTTAACGTCGTCTTGACACGTTCAAAGCTATCGGCTATCAAGGAAGTGTCCGCTTATCGTTCGGAAATTTTGAGTCTCTTCAAGAATTTGTTGATTTCAAATAATTTAAATAAAATAGAAAATGTATTACACTGTTAAACTCAATTCATTTTACACTGTTAATAGTGTAGGAAAATTAGATTTTTTAGAAGAAAAAATTTATAAAGTTTTGAAATTTTGGTTATGAAATCTCAGTAGGAACCTAAATACAGATCCGAAGAATTCCCACGTCTCCGATGGGAGCTTCATCCCCTTTTGCCCAAAAAACCACCCCCAATCGTTTCCTCGCGGTCTTTTTCGGCGATTTGCTCGTAAACCACAGCTTCTACGATAAAATATTGAAGACTTTTTTATATTCTCCCATTTAAATTCTCTATAAAAAATGTACTCACGTTTTTTGCGTATTCCCGCCACAACGCTGCGTAAATGACCTTAAGAAAAAGGCATATTTCAGCGCGAGAAAAAACTGAGCGAAGCGCAGGTTTTTCCGTCTCGATTTTCTCTAAAACTATTAATCTGAAGCAAAAATGTAAAGAATCGAGATTAAGGAGAGTTTTTTTTATTATTACCTGACATCACAATCTCGTTTTAAACACTCAAAATGGTGCGAAAAAGGCCTTTTAAAACAACGTGGTATTTAAAAGTTGCAAGTAACAATTACTTCAAGCGATGACTTTTGAAACTGTCATCTGGCGTGAAATAAAAAAGTCTTCCTAAAGTGCTTTCGTAAATGCAATATTCTTTGCTCTGTACCGTTATCCTTTGGTTAAGGTTTTAAAAACGCGCGTAATGCCTTCCAAATCTGTTCCACGTTTTAGTCCGCAGGCAATAAGTGAAGTTTTCAATGAATGCACCAAAAGATAGAATATTTAAATACCTTTGACATTTCCTTCATATATGCCAGCATTATCGATGCATTTAAGACTTTATTCGTAAGTAACTTCCTATTCATCCATGGAAACAACTTTTCATATGCTTGATAATAGGCTTTACTGGATTGAGATTTTACACCTACCAACGTTTGTTTAGATTTTACAATAAGCGATTTAATGGACGGTGTATTATCTTTTTCAACGAAAATCGTTTTATTCACAAAGACGACGATTTTTATAAGCAAACGTCAAGTGACATTTCCATGGCAATCGTGAAATTACGAACACCCAGCCCACTTAATTAGACATGTATATTTGAGTATAACGTCAATATGACTTCATTGTATTTCCTATTTTTAAATTATACTGCAGGTATAATAAAAAATACTATAAGATACACGTGTATAATTGGTATTTAAAGCACTTGCAACGTTAAAGGCACTCCGCTTTGCGTCGTGCCCTTAAACTCGTTGCGCGTGCTTTAAAGACTTGATTATACACTTGTATCTTAATATACTATTTCTCTACAATGTGCATATACACTAATATATTTATGAACAAGTGTTAGTGTTCATATGAATACTCTCTTATATTTGTGAATTTGTACTTTGAGTCCGTTTCCACACCACCTTTGAGGTAGAGCTCTCGGCGCTTTTTTTTTTACGTGGTTTCCCCTATAGGCCTATTCCACTGATAAAATATATCTTTTCATCAATTTTCCTCTGCAAAGTCGACGTCCTCGATCGAATTGAAACAACTTTGCCCATGACAACTAGAGCACATTGTGGAACAGCGCAAACCAACTTTGACACAGCTACATCGCTTTCCACACCCTTTTTACAGCCGCAGGATATAAGCTGAAGAATTGAAGTTGGAGCTGGCGCTTCAGTCATAACCACTGGCATTAGAATGTTTTTACTTTTTCTCCAGCCCCATTCAGTGCAGTTAAAGTTTTTCCTCGCCACGTATGAATTTGATGAAAAACCCTATATGAATGTTGTGCTAATGCAGCAGATGTAGGTGGTAGTCTGGGCAAAATTATTGCGTGACTGGATTGGCCAACTAACTTATTGAATGTAATGAACCGGTCATGATTTAAAGATACCTCATTTCGGGGTGCTTTGTATAGGGCAAGCGTAAATTTCTCACCAGCTCTTGATATGTCATCTTTCACCGATAAAGGATTATTGAATATTTTAATCACTTCTTGTAAGTCCTTTCTTGAATTTATTAAGTTGATAGTCTGAGATTTTCCCTTCCCAAAAAAGGCAGAAATGGTGTCGCAGCCACTAAACGCATGGGCAAATAAAATATTATGTTTGCAATCTTTTAAAACTCCCGAAATTTGTATGTCATGGGAACTATACGTCCTTTTCTTAATATTTCCTTGAGCATCTCTCAAAAAGCGAATGTCTTTGTCCGATGGAGAAAGAGCGATAAGGATTTGCCCTATTGAGGTTATGATGGTAACTGCCGCATATATTTCAAGTACATTTACTTAAGATTCAGAAATAGAAAATGCATAGTTATAAAAAAATAATCCTATTATAATATGTGCATATTGTAGAGAAAAAACTGCTCTTTAATGTCGATTCTATATATTTTTGCTCATAATACTAGCACTTTTCGAGATTATCGCCGTGAGAAACGTCGCTGGGCGCATTTTTCTCTTCGCGCTGAGAGCTATGCTTATTTTCCAAGGTCATTTACGAGCGTTGGGTGGAGCAAAAAACAGTAAGATACATATTTATAGAGAATTCGATGGAGAATATAAAAAGTCCTACAACATTATTTCGTAGAAGTTGCGGTTCACGAGCAAAACGC